GAGGCCCCACCTGGAGTACTGTGTCCAGGTGTGGAGCCCTCAGTACAAAAAAGACACTGAGATCTTGGAAAGGGTCCAGAGGAGGGCGACTAAGATGATCAGGGGGCTGGAGCACCTCCCCTATGAGGACAGGCTGAGGGAGTTGGGCTTGTTCAGCCTGGAGAAGAGAAGGCTGCGGGGTGACCTCATTGCAGCCTATCAATACCTGAAGGGAACCTACACCCAGGAGGGGAGTAAACTCTTCAGAAGGGCTGACAACAGCAGGACTAGGGGAAATGGATCCAAGTTGAAGGAGGGAAGATTTAGGTTGGATGTTAGGGGGAAGTTCTTTACAAGGAGAGTGGTTGGGCCCTGGAACGGGCTGCCCAGGGAGGATGTGGATGCCCCGTCCTTGGACGTGTTCAAGGCCAGGTTGGACGGGGTCCTGGGCAACCTGATCTGAATGTGTACGTTTGGTGGCCCTGCTAGGCAGGGGGGTTGGAACTACATGATCCTTGAGGTCCCTTCCAACCCAGGTGATTCTGTGATTCTGTGATTCTGTGGGCCTCACTAATGTGTAAGAGAAGTCTCAATGAATGCAAAGCTAGTTGTTCTAGTCCCAAGGTGTGATAATAAAAATCCAGTTCAGATAGTAAAAGAAAATATTTTTCAGAGCTGCAGAAGGATAGAAGACACAGAGTCTGGATTTTGGCAGTACTAGTAAGCATAAATTGAAAAAATACCAAAAAGTTAGCAATGAACCTGTGGTAGAGGCTGGTAGGGTAAACCTCTGGTGAAAAGTAGAAGATGCTTCATAATATATGTCTGACCACTCCTTAAGATTCATGGTGGCTGGTGCCAGGGAGACAGGATACAAACACTGCATCTCTTTGTGTTAGCAAGTCCAGTGTCACTATGGATGCAGGAGACATGAATTCCAAGGGGAGAGCGGTGCCAACTTTTCTCAAAGGAATCCCTTCAGCAGCTCCTCCGCGTAGGTGCTTAAGAAGGTCAGTTTCCAATGAAAGTTGCTGCCTCCTGGCATTACCTCTGCTTGATTAAATAAGGAGGCAGTTATTTGTGCAGTTGCACTCTACAAGGCCAGCAGAAAGCAAGGAGTGACTGTGACTAGCACTACTCATTTCTGAAATGCAGCTTGAGGAACTGAGGGGAAACACAGGTGACACAACGTAATGAGTATTTAGGAGGGCAATTCAGATGAAAGGCTACTGGACAGTGCTTAGGCACCTTCTGTTATAAAATAACTGGGGAACCAGACAAGTGAAACTCTTAAATAGCAAGGGATGCTGCACAAAAGGCATCCTGTGCTGGACACTCAGAAATGGAAAGCTGGCATAAGATGTGCAGGAATGCTTGAAATATCTATAAAGATCAGACATGAACATTTACGAAGACAGAGCATCCAAATATGAAACGCGTAATCACTGCAGAAAGCAGAATACAAACAATCCCTAAAATCACAAGAGATTCCTGGTCATCTTCTGCTTAACACATTGGTGCAGATTTATCTACATTACAGATTCCATTAAAAAAAATACAGTTTACTGGCACTCCTATTTTGTAATGAGCCACTGCCAGCTGGCAGTTCAGCAGCCCGTCACATGTAGCACATAGACTATAGCTTGAATCTAAGCATGAAGATAGTGGATCAGAATTCAGGAAAGTCTCATCCTTATAATTTTCTGGATTTATTAATTTAAACATATATATTACCAAATTGTAGCTCAAGTCTGTGAAGAGCAAGAATTTGATTGGAAAGATTTGAGAGTTTACAGGGGCCCCTTACTTACAAGATTATTGAAGAATGTTTTAAAATCTTGATTGGTATCAGGTTTGCAGCTTCACAAACAGAAAAAAAGACAAACAGTTCACTGCCAAAGAGCAACTGAAGCAAAAACAGTCAATCCAGAATCATTTATGTTTCAGTACTAAATACTGTACAGAGATATGCAAAAACCTCAACCAGCAGTTGCTGCCCAAAACACTAATTGCATAGCAAGAGTGGGATTTCTGATATTTAGCTGTGCAAAAAGTAAGCATCTAGCATACCCTAGTTGCCTGTGCTTCCCTCCATAATCAGTGGAGGCAACAATCAGACAGGCATCTCCAGGGAAAAATTCTTCTTCTGGATAGCAGGATGAATCACCCTCAGGGGACATTGTGTTTCCAACAGCTATAAAGGGTATCTAGATGATTCCCTTGCCAACTGGAGGTTGGATTAGTTGGAAAAACAGACGGAGCTTTTGGGCAAGCCAGTTCTGCTTTTGATCTGCAAACAGAAGCGTTGTTCATGTTCCTAGCATCTTACTATTTTACCTAACTGCACTAGTTGGGGAAATGAAATGTATTATCTTACAGCCTTTTTTTCCTATGTATTAGACCATCATCACTAAAATCAACTAGATGCTGAAAGTTTTTATCTAGAGTTGAACAGGATGAAACTCTCCCCAGAACACAAGAGGAGCGAAAATACTCAAAGAATGTGCAATAATTATCTCAACCTAAAATGATAATATTACATCCTGAACAAACGGTGACTGCCAGCTTGCCTGAGTAACAGTCAGCCTGCCCATAGCAAGTCCAAGTGCAACCAGTGTCCCAGTCAGTCAGTATGATGAAGTCTAGCTGCAGCTAAGTTCATTCAAATCTCTGGAGGGCCTCCGAGCTTCTCCTGAGACTTAGCTGCCCTACTCAGCTGCCAATAAGAGCAGTACAGCAGGAGAAACAGACTGCAGGTATCAGGCTCACTGCTGGTGTACATCAGTGGCTCAGAAGGTCACTGTTGAAAGGCCTGTTGTGAGACTGGCCTTGTGATCAGAAAGCTATTAAGGTACAGTGATCTCATTATGATGTATGTCTAACTGTTTCCTCTGTAAATGTGATTAGGTTGCTTTCCACAGCTATACGGAGGAACAACTATACAGAATATGTCTGGGAAGACATACTGCTTGGGATTTAAATGTAAAGGAAACAGAACATGAGGAAATGTTTTGAGGGAAGCAGTTCTGTGCTGATGAGCAGGAATTAATCATGTTAGTTTAGGAAGCTGCTGCATCTCTTGAACGAATAACTGGCATTTAAAGGCACAGGCTGCTGCAGTGTGTGTTAACACCAGCCTTGTGTGCTGACAACTGTTACTGCCTCACATTATATGCACTCTTGGCACTCTGTGACAAAGGACAAGGAATGACAGGAAGGACAGGAGTGATTTCCCTGACCTTTATACAGTGATGGTGTAGATCTCTGTGTTCAAAGCTGCATTCGGATTCTGTTCACAGTCCACAGAAAGATAGCAGCACTTCCAAGATGGAGTTCATCCACCTGTTTTAGATTTCTGTCATGGCACCAGAGGAGCTTCCTCACCACTGTTTAAAATACAATTCTAGATACTTAGGTCAGATATTGATACATACATGGCTCTGAAAGCAATGTCTCCTATTTATTTCCATGGAAAATACGACAGATACAAAGAGCACAATAACACTATTTGATAGAGCAAATTGTTAGCTACAAAACACTACCTTTCAATATAGTCACCACCACTAGCTATGCATGTTCACCAGTGATGAACAAGAGCCTGCATGCTGTTCTCATACTAATCTGCACCAGTGGAAGCACCCTGCTCTCACTGTCACCACTGCTGAAATGCACCACCCACCCCTCACTGTGCTCACACCCACTGTTTGGTCTCCAGAAACATTCAGCAAGCATCAGTGAATGGCAGTGGGTGCCATGTTTTCCGCATGAAGGAATTCAATGACAAACCTCTGCTTTATCCTCACTTCCACATCAGAAACCATTCTGTCAGGCTGCCTTCTGCTGCCATCTGTCACACGGCAGCAAAATGTAATGGGATATTGGCAGGAAAGTTCAGCCTCTGCTGCTGTACCACCACCATCTGCCTCTGATGTGGCAGGCCAACATAATAAAACAGGAGGCCTTACTTTTGGAGCAGCCCTCGTATATCCGATAGACAGATGTGTATGATTGTTGTGACAAATGAATGCTATCAGAAGTTTACTCGTGGGTGCCATTTGCTCTCCAGTAAGTGTGACCAATACACTGCAATCCCTGCGAACACAACCTGACTTGTGCACTCCTCTCCCTCCACCACTGTAAGCTGCCCCTGCACCCAGGTTTTGGTTGGAGAACAGCTGTTTTCCTCAGACAATGAAACTCACTCTGGAGAAAGTCAAATAAAACCCCTTTCTGTGATGCTGCATGAATGCTTTCTTATAAGAAATGAGGGGTGCCACTACGACAGACGTTTAGGGAAAAGCTCCAGCCAAATCTACCAGCCATTAGGCCATGTCGGGAATGCTGTAACAGCCTCATGAAAGATCCTGCCTAGTTTCTTTCATACAGTGGCTCTTAATAATGAGCTTATAATAAGTGTACAGTCTGGAGGAATTTACTATACAGTACCCAATTGGATTTATGTAGTCATAAACTTCCACAGCACTGCTTCTATGATTTACAACAGTCCCTACTAATGAAGCTATGCCTGGACATGAGATGTGGAACACAAATTGTACCAGGCTGGCTGTACAGTGATACTACACAAATGCATGTGCATTAGTGTGTGTTGACACAGCAATCTGTAATTGTTTATTAAGAGAGAACCATTGCAAATAACCAGATCTTATGAAAAGCGCCAAAAGCACAAACTTAGGAAATTTGTGGGATGGGGTTTTATTGTGAGAGAGTTTACATATAATGGAAGGAGTGGGGAGCAGATAGTCCCTAGACCTTATCAATGAAAATCCTGCTACTTTCTACCTCAGCTGTAGGGGACTGGGCTTGATGGCTTACCTGATTCCCAAACCTTTCTCCTAAAAAGAACCCAGCACAGAAGATAACTTGCTGTAGGATAAGCTTCTCGTGATCTAAACGGATATAGAAGGATGCGTACTTTTCCAGCACAGACATGTTATGTTGCTGCTACTGAGCATGTTAAATAGCTATTTCAGAAAGGACTGCATGTCGTTAACATAAATTACCTGGGCATCGCGGGCAGCACAGCTGTGGTACGTGCACAGGGGAAGGACAGTGTAGGCTTGGACATCTTATTCTGCTGCACAGTACATTTCCATTCTGCAGGTGGAACATAACACAATACTTTAATGAAATGGGCTACCTTAGAAATCTGTTATCTATTCCACATTTGGCTATTTTAAAAACAAATGCCATTTTACAGCATTCTGGCTTATGTCACACCACTGTAAGCCAGACTACTTCAGCTGCCTATGAATTTATGCTGGGGGTCAGACTGTAGCAGAAACACATACAAACCTTAAAATCAGAAGAACTGCCTAAAAATGGATTGCAACAACCTTCACTTCTGTTTTCTTTTGAGCAGATTGCACTTAGGAATTGCATTTCCAAAACTAAGACAAGATAATGAATGGTAGGTCTCTGAGATATCCCCTACTGAGGGTTAGTTCAAGACCACAGGAGACAATAGTGTCTGTAATTTTTCCTGAAAACTGTGGAGAGTCTTTTGTTTTCATTTTATGGGTTCCCCGGTAGACAAAGAACACCAGTTGGTAAGTAGCCATTTTTCTAAGAAATATGAGCAAGTCTTGGGAATACTGTTCATTATTCATGTCATTAACATAATATTTTATTTGACCACATCTAAGTTTGATTTATAATTAAAACACAGGGAATTTTCCTTCTCCAGTATCTGTAACCAGAAAAGACTATCCATTTCAGATTCCCATTTCCCATCTATAATTCATCTTCCTAATTTAGCTCTGAGTTGCTCTTGTTTATAGCAAAAAGAATCTTTCAGTATGAACACTGATACTATACTGTGACAATGCTACAGCTATGTAGGTTGACGTGGTGTTGGGAATAAACCCATTTCATTTTCATGTGCCTTGTGGAGCACTGAAATGTTCCCAGTGGAGGTGCAGACTTCCTTAGCTTTAGTATGTGTAGACATTTCTGCCCACTTTTTGCAGGATGAGGGCTACCCTTGGTCTGCGTGGCTCCCTGCCCAGCAGACCATCATCCAAGAGCCTGTCCTGCGAAGAAAGGCCGGCTCCGTCTGCTGGTTGGCTCACACTGCTTTCCTGACCTGTGCCATGGCATCCCTGCCTTTTTATTTCCTGGTTCAGTAAAATCTCCTAGAGGAACGTTTACTTCTGTGCATGTTCAGCTGTGATAAAAATTCTGCAGACCTTTACTGACCTTACATTTAGATTCACAGGGACATTTGGGAGTCCAAGCCCTATAGATTGCTATGGGACTGCAGCTGCTACACACCTTTGTGAGACAGGGCCACGAAAGAATTTCTGTGTCAGGCTCACAGAGTAACAGCTCTTTTTCCGAGCTGCAAAGGGCTGGGAAAGGGTTGACTGGACAGCATTCACTTCAGCCCCCTAAGGCATGCAGCTCCACTGATCTGGGAAGAGGGGCAGTTGGTGGTACATGTGAAAGAAAGGAGGAGCAGAGTAAAAACACTGAATTATGTTTAGATTTTTTTTTGGTTTGAGTACATAAATTGTAACTTGTTAAAATACAATACTATGCACACACAACCAGGAATGCCTTTATTTATTTATTTTTTTTATTTCAAATCCCAGGCTCAATAACTTGGCCTCTGTTTAGCTAGTTAATGTGTCTTACTTTCTTCTTAAGCATGCACACTTTAGGTATGTATGGGCTGGCTGGCTGGATTAACTGTTGTTCAGAGATACACCACAGATCTGTCTCTGTTTCCTGGCTGGTGTTACTTGATCTGTGTGGAGATCATACAGATCTTAGAGTTTGAGGCCACAAATGAAATGTTGCTCATCCTGGCTATGTAGACCTTTGGAGATTTTGTTGCATTTCTCTGAAGTGTGAAGGAGTAGGTTGTTGCTCCAGATTCTGTCCATATACATACTTTGCCTAATTGATTTTCTGCCTGGGAATCATAGTTGAGTGCCACTCAGGTTTCTTTTATTTGCTGGCTGTGTACAATGTAGTCTCATTCTTTTATGCTGTAATACTGGGTTTAGAGTCTGTGCTTATGTTATGTCATAAGATGTTTCCTAATGCTTTACATAGCTTTAATTGAGTCAAAATTACGAACTGCTGAGAGTTCTGTGATGATCTGGAGCCATTACTATAGAGGTCAGTGTTCTGATGGCCGTTCTGCTGGCTGGGACAAAGCCCACAAGAATGGCTGGATGCTGCAGTTGTCTGGAGTCTTCCTCCCATGCATTAAGAGTTGTATCCCAGAGATCCTTCAGCATCCTCACTGCTGAAATAGGCTCTAGTAATATCTTGCACCCTCACAGTACAACAAAAGTAAAGCAGAGAGAACAAGCAAGCAGAGTACAGGACCACTTGGTAAGCTGTATCTACTGATCATTACCACAAGAAGTTTTCTTCTTTACTTCCCTTGTTGCCCTGTACTGTCACTCTGATCTTCTATGGACATGTGAGAAGGGAAGAGGTAAAGCACATCCCAATTTGTTGGAGCCTGAAAGGGCATGGGTCCTCAAAGTAATGCTGTTCTCTAGAGGAGCCCTCCATGTACTTCCTCGTCTCTCCAGACTAACATCTACCTAAAAACCACTAAGCAGTGACTTCTACACAGATCTCTAGGGCTTCCAGGGAACTTCAACCCCACCCAAGGCACAGCCTTCCAGCAATTCAGTGTTCTACCACACACTGACTCCAAGGGAGTTTCCAGCTTTGCGCATAGAACAGCAAAAGTGAGCAGGAACTCCTTTTTGCTGTAACCAGGGATTTTTATTCATAGTACATTGCTTTTGCTCTTACAGATGCACTCTGCTGCACAGATGTGAGATGCAGCCAAGCTTGTGGGACTACTGTTTGTGCATCTCTGCACAAAATTGTAGTAGCAGATCCCCCAGAGCAAATGCTGCACAGGAGCCCAGTATCTTACACTTGCAAGGGAGGAAAATAGCCAAGAAAAATGTATTCCACATTAAATACAGCAGACAAAACTCAGCATCTGGAGTGTCTCATGTGTTACTCATTATGCAGTACTCCAAGGGATGTATTCTGCTCCTTCTTCTGTCCCTCCCCAGCACTGTACGATATACTCAGAGGGTGTATGACAGCTGCACTCTAGTGCCAAACACCAGCTGATGGTAAAACCAAGGGCCCGTGCTTTCATCTCCCAGGCAGTTCTCTCTCCTCCCTGTGCCGCATTCTCATTTTTCATTCTTCTTTATCCTAGAGTTCTACAAATATTATTACCATGTTATTTCTTCAACACTTTAAGGCAGGAGGTACCCTGACTATGGAAATGCACTTTGGAAGATGTGGGCACTGTATGTAAATCAGAACACAATGAAATGTGGGTTCAGTATAACCCTCTATATTGATGGAAGCACAAGTATTATATGTCATTAATGGGGCCCAGTTATTCATGGTGTAACATTCAGCATTGACAAAGCTTGTGGCTTCTTAATAAGCTTTTGTGGCTGCCCTATACAAGTATTTTTGCCAGCACTGGCCTTCTCAGTTAATGTTTTCCCTTCACAAGGATGTTTCCCTTCACTGCCTCTATTTCCCACAGCATGATCACTACCCCTAGCAAAAACAGGCCTGGGCTCTGTCAAATTGTCAATACGACACAGAGGATTCCAGTCAATTCAGCAAAGCAGAAGTTGTAGGATCAGTAACTCAGTGGTCCTACCTCTGAGCAGAGACAATTAACACAGTAAACAAGTCCGTAGGGTTCTAGGTAAGGATGCCATCTTTCTCCTACACGGTACTTCTTGTCTTGAAACACACAGTATGTATCTGAATCTGCAAAACAGAGAATGATTGAAAGAGCTCCGAATTAAAGATCCCACTCCATAGATAAGAAGTTTTTACAGGTGCAATACATTCTATAAACTATCTTTGTGGACAATACAAAACATTTTGTAAAGAATTATTTTTTATTCTTTCCCTGGACGATGACACTTAGAAGTTGAATGCTCTTAATTTGGCCATTGTTTCTTATCCCTCAAAATAAAATAAATGAAATGGCCTCCCATCATTCCCAAACTATAACTCCTGAAATAGCTGAAAGTGTGGTTCGTACAGGATGGGTTTATTCTCACACCTACTAAGGCATAGGCTCACATCCCACTTAGGTAACAGAACTGAAGTGCTTGATTGCTCAGGCAGGTTGATACTAAATCTCATCATCACAAAACCATAGCAACTGGCTGCACGTAGAAAAATCTGAGGTTGTACAGTAGAGATTTGTAAATAAGGGGACTGATAGAAAGAATATGCATGCACTGCATTTACACTGTATGTTCGGTATCTCCATATTTTAAAAGCCTGATAAAAAGAAGCTTGTCCTCATATTTCAAAACAAGTGGTGCTGTCTTACACATGCAATAGCTTCCAAAGTAGTCATTAAATACTCATCATCTTGCAGGTAGCTTTGCAGATATCCATCTGCCTATCAGCAATTACTGCCCTGTCCTCCCTGTCACATTACAGTTGCATATTAAAAAGTCAAATCTCTTGAATAAGAGGATGCAGTTCTCTGTATTTTCACAAGAGAAATCCTTGATTGCTTTACTGATGTCCAAATTCAGTTTAATTCATTTGCCATCAAACACAATCCAAGAGATAACCTAAGCAAGAACATTTTTTACATGTGCTGGGCTAAAAGAAGGTAACAAGAGGTAGGGATTACCAGTAGCAACTGGGAGGTAAGCTACTAAAGAAGCATGACAAATGAAATGCAGGACCCGGGAGCGGCTGGCTGAAGCGGAGGCTGGCCATTTCTCACCCCACACTTCCCTTGAACAAGGATCCCTGCACACTGCTTTGTCTCTAAGTTCAGCCCTTTTGCAATGAAATCTTTTTTTTTTTTAATCTACATTCTGAAAAGCAGGAGCTGCTGACACTGAGGCCCAAATGTGAACAGCTTTTCAAGGGCAAGGGACTTAGTGCTTTGTAAGGCCAAAGCTCAGATGGGCAGAGCAGCGCACGGCTGCAGGCTGCGGCTCCCACACGCTCACTGGGACGGCTGCTCCCCCCAGCCACGTTTCCTGAAGTGTGCTAACATCTCCCGCAGATGACAGGCTGTGTAGAAATATTCCTTTGTTTTGTTTGTATTCTTTTCAGTGCTTCTCATCAAGTTTTTGACTGTGCTTAGGCTCTTAATTTTCTCAAAAGATGTATCTAATCCAGTTCATATGAGATTGTTTTTGGAACAGAGCAGAACAGTCCTGGACAAGATTTACACTAACTGAAAAGCTCAGCACAATGGCCTTACACAGGGGACAAAATCCAGATAATCTGTCAGATGTTTACAGAGGTCACTAAAATAGAATTAAGCACTCTCTCAATTCGGGGTATGTGAAATAAAACAGATTCTCCAACCGATGTGTTATGGTCTGTATAAACCTGTATGGCTTTAGGAAAATGTGCCCCAAACATGGCTGTGACCTGATTTGACTAAATGTAGGATTAGGAGGAGGAAGAACAGCACGAAGCTTTGAAAGCAGCTCCACAGTTCAGGACATTCTTGCTTAGAAGTCTTTTCTGAACCGCGTTTGTCAAATGGAAGGAAAATGTCAGGTCAGGGGAAATGCGAAAGCTCTGTTAGAAGTGTACTTACGTTTTCCTTGTTCTAGTTTACCTCCGTCTATGAGCAGGAGACAGAGCACACCAAAAAAGATAAAATGAAAATCCTCCAATCCCCACTTTCTTCTCATCTTTATCAACAAAAGGGAGAGAAAGAGTCTCCAAGGTAGAGAATGTTTGAGCTGTTGGAAAGAAAAGATGAATTCAACTCAAATCCAGCAATACACCTACGTTCTCTGACATGCTTTCAGCCAGCACCTAGAGATCCTAAGCTGCCCAAAGCAAAAAATCTGTTGGTACCAGAGATCTTCATTTTGTGGAAACACCTTTGGCTTCGAATCATTTCATTTTTGGAAAAGAGACCACGCTCCCATTCATGAAAGCTGAAAAGTGGGTACCACATCTCATTAAGTCTCGTTTGAGCAGAATGCCTTCATCGTTAGATTCCCCTTGGACACAGCTGGTACCTTGGCTCTGCAACATGGAAATCCATGTGTAGGGAGAAGTGCTGGCCAGGCTGCAGGCAACAAGAGTCCTCCTCATGCAATCTAGCAGGCTCTCCCCCAACTGTGTGATTCACCCCTCCTCCCATCTCCCAGCTACTATTGTTCTGGGATTGGGTACAATTAATTTTTCTAGAGTTAACCCTTTTGTTGCCTTGAAATCTGAAAGTACACTGCCACCTTCATTCTAATAGATCTTAGCTATCAAACCCTTGCACATAGAGCAAAGCTTAAGGTATTCTCTGAGAGGTGCAGAGATAGTATTGTACTCACTGCAAGCTCCATTCTGTTTATCTTTATCTTTTTTTTTTTTTTTTTTTTTTTTTTTTCCTTTGAAAAGATTATTTTATAATAAAGAAAAAAAAAACAGGGAAAAATAATTAAGTACCATTTCTTTTTGATAGCCAACTTAAGATCCTAAATTAAGAGATCTGTAGATACATTACTGCTCGTCAGAGTTCACTGCATGGAGTACACTTGTCCATAACTTACAGTGCTGAAAGATTTGGGTTTGATTTCAAGAGTCTTGGAAGTGGCTTCACAGTTTTATAAAAGTTTGACAAAAAGATCCACCACTGGAAAAACAACCAACGTGCTCTGTAAACTGATTTGACCTCTTCAGATTTCATGTAAATAACAGAACGGCACACAAATTTGGTTTAGTTGACAGATAACCAGAGCAGAAGTAGTAATTCATATATGTTTATTCAAAATTAAGGGGTGGATAGCATAGAGAAATTAAGTAAATTCAGAGATGATCTATGAGGAAGTCACTCAATGTGTCAGCCGCTTAAAAAGAAAACCTTCCTATTAAAACTGCTGGTGTGATCTTTCAACAAAGAAAGAGAATTACCTGCTCCTATCACAGCTGTTTAGGGGTTCTCTGCACAGTCCCAAAGCCCCAGCAGAGAGGACATCTTCCTTAACACATGTCACTATTTAGCGAACTCTGTCTCTATTCAAGGGGCTCATTCAAAATAATGCAAATTGCATCTGAAAACATTCAAAACCATAATGCCTTTTTAAAAGCACACTCCCTATGGCAGTAAGAAAATAAAACTTTCCATTTATTTTGGAAGCTGAGAATAATATTCCAATTTCACAAGAAAGATGTAAGTCATTTTTTCCTTTCAACGTCTTCAAATCACACAGGGCATTTCGAGGCCAAACAAACTTCTAACAACTTGTTTAAAATGAAAACCTCGCAGCTGAGTCCCGGGGCAGCATGCATGCATGGAGCACAGCAGCAGCACATCCTTGGGACCGGCAGAAAGGGCAGCGCTGAATGCTCCGGCCCTCTCGGGGGGTGCCTGAGCAAACCGTATTTATAGAGGGAGCACAATCATCCTTTGTGCGGGCTTTACCTGTCGGCCAGCGGGGCCGCCTCGGCTAGAAGGGGCTCAAGGAGCCGTCCGTTTCAATGCCGCACCTCGGCTGCTCGCGCTCAGAAAGGCTGCATGCGGTGAAATGGAGGAGTTAATAACTGGGATGGGATGGGGACTTTTGATGTCTTCCTTAATTCTCTTTAATTTCTGCATTGTTGTTACTCCAAATATAAACACATACTTTTCACTATTAGCACACTCCCTTTATTTCCCCAAAGGGCAACGTCCTAAAAATATTCCTAGATTTAAATAATCAGTTAGGATTAACCTGTTAATTATTGGTGTGCTTCGCTTAGCAGAAACGAGCAAAGCGATCTCCTTCTCGCTGCACCGAAGCGAGGCTCGGGCTCCGTACCGCTCGGCCCCAGCAGCGCCGGCGTCGCGCACCCCGCGCCGGGCAGGAGCGGGAGCGGCGGCCGTCCAGCAGCGGGCACGCACCGCGGGCGCCCGCTCCGCTCCTGCAGCCTCGGCCTCGCGGCTCTCCGGCCGGCCCCGTCGAGGATTTCGGACCGCGGGGCTCCGAGCCGCAGATCCCGGCCGGCGGGGCTCGGACAGCGCGCGGGTCTCAGGGCCGGCGGGGACGCGCCGGGGAGGCTGCGGGCGGCGGCTCCCGGCACGGAGTTCCCGGGAGCGGGACGGCGGGGCGAGCCGGGGCGAGCCGCGCTCCGACGGCATCACCGCGCCTTACCCGCGAGGAGAGAGCGGCTCACGAACCTGGGGAGCCGGAGGCCGCTCCGAGCCGCGGCGGCGCCGGGGGAACCTCTGCACTGCGCCGGGGCGAGGGGACTCGGGTCGGGGTCTGCTCCGCCGCTCACGTCGCCATAATCTCCCGCCGCTCAGCCGGGCTCTCGTCTCTTCCCTTCTCTCTCGCGGCGGCGCGGACGAGCTGGGGACCGACGGCCACCGGCGGCCCCCGGCCCCGTCGAGCGCGGGGCGAAGCGGCGGCGCTCCGCCGATCCTCCCCCGGACCCCTGCGGGGCGGGCGCTCCGCGAGGCCCCGGGCCGCCCCGGGACACCTGCCGCCACCCGAGGACCGAGGATGCTCGGCGGCCGGTCCTGCCGCGCGGCCCCTGCGGCACTGCGGCGGCGGAGGCGGAGTGCGGCCGTCGGCCCGGCGGTCCGCCTCCCGCCCCGGCCCCCTCCTCTCCCGCGCCCCGCTCCTGCCGCCCGGCCCCGGCCCGGGGTGGAGTTTGCTTCGTGCCGGGGGCAGCGCTCGGCGGGGCGAGAACCGCGCCCGCCCCCGCGGCGCCCCGCGCCCCCCCCGGTCCGCCACCCCGCGGCTCTCCGGGAAGCGCCGTCCGCGGCGTTTGGCCGGCAGCCTCTGCTGATTGCCCCCGCGCTGCGTTAGAAGTTTTTGGGGTCACACGGAGATTCTGGTGGGACCAAATTAAACCCGTGACTCATGACATTATATGCTCGGTCAAACATTCTTGTTCCGTCTCGTTGTAGCCCCTGTAACTAATAAGAAGAGATCAGCGAACCCTTGACAAATGATCTGAGAAAAAGGGTGAGGTATGAAAAGACATCATGCGCAGAAACAAATGTCAGCCCATTTCCCCCGCTTTGGGAGCGCTGCTCGCGGAGCGCGGCTCCAGGTCACAGCGCACCTCCGGGCGCGTCGCTGCCTTCCCGGGGGCCGAACGCTGAGCGGAACTTCCATCTGTCTCAAGTTAGCTGGGCTAGGCGAAATCCTGAAAGTACAGCGCGGGGAGCAGCAGTGCGAGCGCGGCGGATGGCTTGCGGAGAGGTTTCTGGTGCCACGCCGTGAGTTACCAGCACTGCGCGTTAGGGAAAAACAACTTTGTAGCTTTTGAATCCCAAGAGAAAGAAAAAGAAGTTGCGTTCTGGAGTTGAGCTTTTTGAAAACACTGCGCTTAAGTCTGTGCTGCTGTGCCACTCTTTGCCCTGCTACGCACAGGCACAATCCATGTTTATAAGAAATAAAAGGAACACTTAAAGCTCTTAGACCTGAAAGTGGTGGCCTCTGCCACAAGCTGATGGCTTTGGGGGAGCCATCACACGACACAGGAATGGGCAAATGGGAAAAAGAAAAGGACGCTGAGTTGGAAACAAGCTTGTCATTGGCACTGGCAGGCAGGACTGACAGAGCAGTGTGAGCTCTGGCCATGCAGAGGTACAGGCACACTTGGGGGCAGGTACAGGTATGCACACGTCCTTCTGAACTGTGAACTTGCAGTAACTTTAGAAGCAGAAAACCACATACACAATATGTAAATCTGTCTAGAAAAGAGACTGCAGATCTTTGTGAGCAGGATGTCATCATCCTTGTACATCATCCTGTATCACCATTCAGGCTGAAGCGTTTGGTTTCATAGCATCGGTGTGACCTCAGCGGGGGGTAGCTTTGTGTTAGGACAGAGCTCAGCTTTCTACATGGACATCCCCAAACAGCCCACCTGCCCCGCACCAACCTGTCACATGTGCTTTGGCTGCTGCCCTTCGTGTGCATTGCTCCTCTGTGCCGATACAATGCCCAGTGTATGTGGTAAGAACAGCAAAAGTCCTTCATGCGTAGTCGGTATAGGAGTAATGAGAAATTAAATGTTTTCTATGGACTGTGACCCGAATTCTTTTGCAGAGAGATTCTTTGAAGAGAAATTCCTTATTTGGCCTGAAGTGTGCCTTGAGAGAGCTGTGTTAAGATGCCAACACTTCACTCTGCATGCTGCGAGGCTGCTGCAGGAGATGGTACTTTCTGGCAGTCTATGGAGATATTGATTCAGGTGTGAGACCTTTGGTGAACACAGAAATAGACCACAGGAGGCCCTTCTCCCACCTTTTGGCAGATCTAGGTTGGAGCGAATTGGCTGAAAGGGCTTTTCCCTGGAGTGTGGGCTTGGTACTCATAGGGCAACGTGGTGGGAACCTGGACATTGGCAGCATGCCCCAGCCTTACTCCTGCTCCTGCTGCTTATCCAGGGCTGTGCGTGTTTAACTGTGCAGAAAGGCTGCTGCTGGATTTAGCCATACAGGGTACAGAGGCACAGCAAGAGTTACGGTTGGTGGTGCAAAGGGCAGAGTGACACATTCTGGACATTGCGTGTGAATGAGACGTTTGCAGGTGGGCTGATGGTGAGCAACCCCTGCTGAGCTCACTGAGTGTTCCACAACATCACGTATGGGCAGTGCTGCGCACATGCCTGAGCCCTTCTTTTCCCAGCTCTGCCCGAGTGCCACTGAGGAGCAGGTACGATTAAATGTAGTCCTGTCTGCGTCTCATCACATCCTGCTGTGCTTTGCCTGACGTTGCAGCTGATGCGGCCCTGAGTTAGGGAATCTCCCCTGTAGGCTGCATTGCTGTTGTGACTGAGGAACCACCTCTCCATGTGCTCTTGCTCAGTGCTGGGCTGTGACTGAAGCTTAGTTCTGTTGCACACGTGTGACACAGAGCTCCAGAGAAGCTGGAGATGTGTCTCTTACCCATCACGTTCTCAGGCAGAGCTCACTGTTTCAATGTGCTCTGTGTCCTGCTGTCTGGAAAGGAAAAATTGGCTCCCAGCAGTGGGCATTAGAAGTTTGAGGGTACCTAAACTCTTAAGAGCACAGAAATGTAGCCACGCAACTCTTGTTTGAGATAACAGACCTTATGCAGCTAACAAGCTGTGACACTGAGAGTGGAAGTGCATCTCCTTGTGCTGTGCCTCACAGCGGCCAAACACGGCATGCAGTTATGCAGTTACCCTACTGTTACTCCTCAGCTCTTGTGAGGGGGGAAAAAAAAACAAGATAAAAGATTCATGCCAATGCTAACATGTTTATACACCATGTAAAACTCTCCTAATTGGATTAGATATGGAGTTTGGAGAGATGGCAGGCACGTGACACTACTGCCATTTACCTCCCTGTCTTTTTTCTTTTTTTTCATTCCTTTCAAGAAAAAAATGTTTTTGGTCAGCTTTTCAATTTTGAAAAAGCGTGGAAGGAAGTTCTTAAACTTAATGAATTTCTGCATTTTTGTGTTCTGCTAAGCCCTTTGGAAAATGTATCTTAAAATGCTAAATATTCTTCCCAGGATTTTATAATGATCTCTAAATTACTTTTTGTGGTTTGGATCAGCCCTGCAACTGTCATACTGGGAATACAATCTGGATGTTCATCAAGCAGTCTTTGCATACGCTATTAAACAAAAAGGGCTTCAGATGTGCATGATTTAGTGATTATGGCATAGGATGGTCATGAGCATTCTCCACCCTCCTGCTCATCCTGTAGCACTGACTTCATCTGTGGTGGGGTTTCAGTCCTCAAACACTGGAAATTAATTATTTAGCAGAGAGTCAGATGGATTTGGTAAGTCGGAAATGCTTGGGTATGGCTGGCTAAAAACAACAGCAACATTACATAAAAAGTCAAATCGAGGCCCAGTTCTTCCTCACCTTTATGCAAGCTGATTCATCTGAAACTGAAGAGCAGCTCAAAGTCTTCCATTGTTGTATCAAAAAAATGCAACTACATTATATATTCCTGAATGCCACTTCCAAATACATAAGTGAACACAGTCATAAGAGTTAACAGACATGAAAATGCAGGGGACCTGAATTGTCCATGTTTCAGTCTGTCCTAGAGCAGGTAATGCTTCGTGAGGTGAGGTGTTGAGAACACCACTGGATTTTGCATTGATCTCACTGTGCTCATCTGCAGCTGTCTCTAATCAATCTAATTAATCTAATCTAGATATTTATTTCTATCACCACAGCAGTGTATACAGCGCTGATCCCACAAATCTTTCTCATACCTTTAACATTAAAGAAAGTCAGCAGGACCAGGATTTGTATCTTTATGAGCTATACAGAAAGCATCCTTCACCACAGTGTGTCACAACATCCATACTCAGTGGTTTACTGACAGAGAAATAGTAATAAAAACGTATACAGTGTTATCACCATGATTTGTACAAGCAATTTTCAGTCAACCTTTCAAGTGAGCCCAAGGAACTGGCATACATGAAATTGTGAGAGGGCTGATCTCAGTGACATTCCCAGAGTGCATTCGTGTCTGTCCTGTCTTGAAATGTCCAGTTGGGAAATTCTTAATCAGATACATGTTGCTGTCAGTTGTGCACAGTAATCTCTGGCAGAAATCATTGGCTTCTGATTTATCCCCTTTCTGTGCTTAGCCAATTGAATTACTTCTTATTTATTTATTTCTTTACTTAATTAAGAAAATTTGAATCGTGACAGATTTTCAAAGTTTATTTTTTAGCATTAAGGGTATTGATTAATTTCTTTTGCATTACTTGGTCTTGTAATGGGTGTTGGAGACACAACAGTGATAAAGCTGTTGAAAACAGATCTCATCACCAGCCGATGCCACGTATGTCAGCAAACAAAGAGAGATGCTTTGGTAAAGTTATCAAAAATCAAAGATATCTTCATTCCAAATGCTCATCCCTAACTCCTGCACAGACAGCACATCTGGGAGGAAGCCTGCACAACGCACAGTTCCTGGCTTCTACCACAGTGCAGTGCTGTCTGGTGACTGCAGTCAGTAGGCACAAAGGAGCATCCAGCATCCTTATCAGTGATGGCTTCAGAGTTCAGGGAGGAGCTTCACCTGGATTGTTTTCTCAGAGCCTTGCATTCTTAAGAACAGCAGCAAGCAGTGTCGTTCACACAGAAGAGCTGATGTTCTCCCCTGCCATGGGGATCACTGAGGGATCTCACCCAGATGTGTGCAGGAGTTGGAAGGAATCACAGTGATTTGTGCTTGCTGAGGACCTGGCTGTGTACGAGAGAAGCAGTAAGAAGTCCTACAGACTGTCCATACCATGGTAAAAATCCACTTGCTGATGCGTTTCTCCACAGCTGGGATCCACCAGAGAAGCTCTGTTCAGTCGTTTTCCAAGGCATGGCAGAAGGAGTCCAGGCTGACTGAATGAAGCTCCATTCGCAATTCAAAAATACTTTTACAGAACTGTGATTAGCACTGCTAATCTCGCCTCGGTGAGCCAAAGACAATAACAG